GGGAGGCTGAGGCAGGAGAATGGCGTGAACCCGGGAAGCGGAGCTTGCAGTGAGCTGAGATCGCGCCACTGCACTCCAGCCTGGGTGACAGAGCGAGACTCCATCTCAAAAAATAAAAAATAAAAAATAAATAAAAAATCATGATTTCTAAGGAATTTTTGGAGACTGTACAAATTACTGTGAAGTTTAAATTATTATGTTAAAGTAGTCATTAAATGTTCTAGCAATCCTCTCCTGCCTTGGTTTCCCAAAGTGCTGGGATTTCAGGTGTGAGCCACCACATCTAGCTTTTTTTTTTTTTTTTTTTGGGTAACTGCTCCTTAATCCAGGGAAATTTAGTAGATTAAAAATTTACTTAAGAGTCTTAATATGATTAAAGAGGGGATGAAGAATAATGTAAAGCAAAAATCAGATGGAGCCCATATGTCAGATAAAAGTGTGAAGGTAGCGAACATGATGAATGGTGAGCAGGCCTTACCTAGATCACTCCCAAGTGCTCCTGAACTGGTGGTTGGCCTTTCACATGGATGTGAACTCTGTTCTGATAGGTCCCCCTGCTGCTGCTGCTGCTGCTGCTGCTGCTGCTTCTGCTGTTGCTGCTTTTGCTGCTGTCTGAAACATTCAAAAGTGAATGTATATTTAAAAAACAAAACTTAAAAGAATAAATACACCATGAGAAAAACTATTCATGTGGAAAATACACTGTTCCACAAATCAAAGTAGTCACTGACATTAAAAGAATGCAAGAGCAGTTAGTCTGATATAGATTACTTTAAAATATAGAAGTGCTGATCCTAGGAAACCTAGACATAAAATTTAAATTTATCAGACAAATTAAGAGGTAGGTATTTTCATCACAAAATAACCTATCATGGCCAGGCATGGTGGCTCACACCTGTAATCCCAGCACTTTGGGAGGCCGAGGCAGGTGGATGGCCTGAGGTCAGGAGTTTGACACCAGCCTGGCCAACACAGTGAAACCCCATCTCTACTAAAAATACAAAAATTAGCCAGGTGTGCTGGCAGGCACCTGTAATCCCAGCTACTTTGGGAGGCTGAGGCAGGAGAATCACTTGAAATGGGAAGGTAGAGATTGCAGTGAGCCAAGATCATGCCACTGCACTCCAGCCTGGGTGACAGAGCAAGACTCTGTCTCAAAAAACAAACAAACACACAAACAAACAAACCTATCATACAAAAAGATTCACTGGTAGCTATTCTTATGCAAATGAGTGTTGGTTTATAGACCCTTAATATTGTTGAAAGTCACTGAAAATAAGTACCTTTGATCAGATAAAGCATCTCAAACTACCATGTGAGTTAACATAATGTTTCCATGGCTGGCTCATTCTTTTGATTCAGGTCTGAGCTTAACAATCTCCCCAGAGATGCCTTTCCTGACCATCCTACCAAAAGTAGCCATCTGACATTCTCATTATTTCATCACTTCGTTTTAATTCTCAGCATAAACTTACCATCTGGTGTTCTCTTTATTTCCCTCTTTATGGCGTGTAAGCTAATGAGAGTGCAAATGTTAACTTGTTCATCTATTTCAACAGTGCTGATAACCGTGCTGTTACAACATAGTAAGCATTTGCTGAACACTTGATAAATGAAAACTACTATTTAACACACATTATCAGATTTTAAGTAATACTGATTGCATTCAGCTCCTCTGTAATTTTTTCAAAAGGAAAAACAATGTAATTCAAATCCCCACTTTTAAAATGTTTAAACATGATAGTTATGATGTAAATATGTAGGAATATATTCTTGTACTCAGAAAATACACACTGAACAACTGAGACATAATGGAAAATCATATTTGCGTATTATTCCCAAATGGTTCAGAAAGGCCGACAATTGGGGAATCTGGGTGAAGGATATAAGGCACTCTGTGTACTATTTCTGCTTTTATGTAAATCTGAAATTACAGGTCAAGCATCCCAAATCCGAAAATCTGAAATCGAAATGCTCCAAAATCAGAAACTTTTTGAGCATCAACATGATACTCAAAGGAGGTGCTCAATGCAGCACTTCAGATTTGAGATTTTGGATTTGCAATGCTTAACTGGCAAGTATAGTGCCAATATTCACAAATCCTATAAAACCCCAAATCTAAAACACTTCTAGTCTCAAGCATTGTGGATAAGGGATACTCAATCTAGATTTCATACATGTAAATACAAACACAGAAAACCAAAAACCAAAACTTACCAACAGCTGACAATCTCAGTGAGAAGCCATAGGTTTAAAAAAAAAAAAAAAAAAA